CAATATTCAATACAAAATTTTAATACATGTGCCATTAATGTATGTATTTTTTAAAAAAAAAAGGTATTTTTTATTATTTCCTGTTTGTGTATCAAGGATTTTTTTTATTTAATTTAATTAATTCGATCGCACTTAAATAAAATACAAAACAATTATCATTAGCGAGGTTATCCGTGCGATACCTCAAAACATACAAAATATATACTTATATAATATCTACATGGTATATTACATTATTAAAAAGAACTAGCAAACCAGTGAACCAAATGTTCACCAAAACCTGATTAAAAAAAAAAAAAAAATGTATTTAATTAATTGAGAACTTCGAAGATTTTGTGTGGTTTCGAATTGGAGCGCCCGTCTGGGGAAGCAGCCTCCACCTTACCGAAGATCACAGTAACTATAACACCACCTGCAATATTCCATAGTTTTTAAGGCCCGGGCTATCTTGGGAACCCTTGTGGTTTGCATTTATAGGGACTTTAAACCGTAACAAGAACTACTTTCAAATGAAATTTAATAAAATAATACACACAACTTTTAGCTTTTCAGGAGAGCTCACAAATATATTTGTTTTAAAAATAATCATAAATACAAATTGTTTTTCTAAAAAAATATGAATATGAGAATACAAATTGTAAGCCACTTGCAATGTTACTGACAAACTGTCAACCACTGCCATAATGGCGGCTCTCTTCCTTTGTTATGAACTTGCAATTCTTGTTTATGTAACTTTCCGAACATGAGGCGGCGAAATATAAAGTCATTTGAACGAATAAATGTATGGAATTTTGAAAGTGGGCCATACTAGGAACCGGACCATCTTGGTTGCAAGCACCTTATAATAGCGGATATTTTATCAAACACCTATCTGCGAAATACAAGCCCCCGCCTAGTAAAATGTTATCTACTTGAATTTCGTATAGCAAACAATTTCAAGATATTATCGCGATATAATTCAATTCGGTTACTTATCTGTAATATCATTCGATTGACATAATTTATAAATTAAAATTGTAATAAGGCTACTAGATAAAGTATTTAGGCACACAGAAAGTGCCATTAAAAAAGTATCTATGAGGCAACCTAGAGTAGTCGAAGAATTTAAATTCGACGAATTGAGATGTGTTTACCCTGTAATCTGAGAGTTGCCTTATTTTTACATCTTATGCCTGTTCTACACGTTGGCCAACATTGTAGCCAATATTATGGGAAAGCTATTAGCCAAGAGTTTGTGATGGCATCGATCCAAACGTTAGAAGGTAGTTTACTTCATCTGTAATATCATTCGATTGCCATAATTTCTAAATGAAAATTCTTGTAAGCATACAATATAATGTGTTTAGGTACACAGAAAGTGCCATTAAAAAGTACCTAAGAGGCAACCTAGAACAGTGGTTGTCTTCGAAGAACTGAAATCTGACGAATTGAAATGTGTTTATCCTGTGATCTGAGAGTTGCCTTATATTTACATCTTATGCCTGCTGTACACGTTGGCCAACATTGTAGCCAATATTATGGCAAAGATATTAGCCAAGAGTTTGTGATGGCATCGATCCACACGTTAGACGGTAGTTTACTTCATCTGTAATATCATTCGATTGCCATAATTTCTAAATGAACATTCCGGTAAGCATACCAGATAATGTATTTAGGTACACAGAAAGTGCCATTAAAAAGTACCTAGCAGTGGTTGTCTTCGAAGAACTTAAATCTGACAAATTGAAATATGTTTAACATGTGATCTGAGAGTTGCCTTATATTTACATCTTATGCCTGCTGTACACGTTGGCCAACATAGTAGCCAATATTATGGCCAATATAAGGCAAGAGTTTGTGCCACACAGTTTGCTTCGATTCAAGCAACTGTGCGGACGAATTTATTAAATTGGATATACATATTACATATAGACGCTAACGGCTCCGGCAATTTATTTATTCACAGCTTAAATTCCTATTATAAGTAGATAATATACTTCTAGTTGCTATAGTTAAGACGCATCAAAATAACATTTTAATCAGGTGAGTTGCATGGGATCACTCTGGAAAATCTTAGCAAACTAAACACACAGTACCGTTTTTACACGACGGCCATAACTTCGCCACAGTCGTCATTCTTTTAGTTGAATCCGACACCATAAGGATATTGCGCCAACTTGTGCGCCATCATCCCAATACATACCAAGTTAAACACAAACCCCTGTCTGCAAGATGGCCATAGGTAGGACTGCCATCTCGAAAATGTCGCAACCAGGATAAGACGCGTGATAACCCCGGATTTTGGAGCCCAGAACCCGGACAGACCAATAAAAAAACAGTTAAAAATGTGTTAATCCAATAAAATTTTGTTGGCTCCAATTTGAGACTTGATCTAGTAACATCTCAATCTCGGACAAAAGTCTGTCTTTACATACTTCTTCTTCCATCCGAGGGATGTTTGACCGGCCAGTGTAAAAAGTTTCAGTGCTATCATCCACATAGCAACGAATGCTGTTATTGCGGACAGTGTAGGCGACAAAGCAGATCTTTGTTGGAAGTCAGCATATATGGTTACAGTGTTAGAATAGATTTATTTATTTTCAAAGACATAAAAATTGACGGATTAATTGGCGACCCAAAACAGGAATTTTTTAAACCCGGACTACAAATGAAACCCCGCCCGGACGCTCCCCGGACGCCCCGTAAACTAGGACAAATCCGGGGAAACCCGGACGGATGGCAGCACTAGCCATAGGTAATGGCCATATCCATTCGCCACAATGTTGGCCAACGTGTAAAACATGCTTTATAACATTTAGTTTGGCACTTTTAAAGTAGGTTAATGTGATAAGTGCAGTCTATCTAATTTAATCCTTTACAAGTTACTAGTTTAATCCTTTACATGTCCATAAAGCTGATTTGACCACTTAGCGTGAATTGCGCCAAATTATTTAAACTTTAACTGTCATGTCATATTAAAGTCATGGTAAAACTTATTTTGAACTTGAAAGTTAAAGTTTGTTGTTGTTTGGTTGGGACTAAACTAAAGGTTATAATGCTTGCTCTACACGGCGGCCAATATTGTGGCGAATAGCTATGGCCATTGTGAAGAGCAGGGGTTTGTAACTTTAACTAGCTCTGTGGTGCACATAACACCTTGGAGCCGCCCCAAAAAACTAAAAAAAAATAACATAAATATTGACATTTGATTTGTAGAAAGTTGATCTGTTGTTTTGTTTTACGTTTCCTAACACTAACAATATTTATAATTTTTATTATTTTTAAAGCATGTAACTGCTTGATGTTTAAATCTAAAGAAAATATAACTAGAAAAAATTCGAGTTCGAGTCCCGTCTGCTGCCTGGTCCGCGTGGAATTTTTTCTAGTTATATTTTCTTTAGACTAACAATATTTATTGGAATTTCGTTGAAAAACCGGCCAAGTGCGAGTCGGAATCGTGCACCGAGGTTCCGTACAAACCTGCAGGTATATAATAATTATTAAAAAAATATATAATATATGATGTAAGTAAAAAAATTGCGGTTCTCACAATTTTCCTTCATCTGTGCTTTAAGACGTTACTTCGTACAAATTTCAAGATTCTGAGTTCACGGGAAGTGCCCTGTAGGTTTTGATTCCCTTGCGAGTTTCGAAAATTTGCGGCATAAACGGCTGTATCTTTTGATTGTGTTGGCTTAGAAGTTTGATTTTTTTATAGCTTCAAGGGACAGTAGACCTGAATATTTAATAAAATTTCAGCTTGATACGCACGTTCACACGTTCCTGAGAAAAAGGGTCTTGACAGACGGACGGACAACAAAGTGATCCTCTAGGGTTTCCGGTTTATTTCCTCTCGAGGTACGGAACCCAAGAAATTGCAGAATTACGTTAATTTTGTCTGCTAACTCCAAAATGGGTAATAAATAATCTGGATTTTCTTCAAATAATTCTAACAAATGATTCTGTACTAAACCTACATACACATACTCATTGATGCGTATAACAGAAATGAGGTCCATTTCTTTCCACTAATATTTCTGCCATCATTAATCTTTCGTAGACACGCCGAGAGAGCTCAAGATCTTCATAGGCCGATGCTTAATGAGACCTAACATTTATCAAACAAAGCAATTACCTAACATACAGTAGGAATAATTCTACTCATTCACTCATTGATAACAGTAATCAGACAAAAACATTTACAATCGCAAATGAGAGATAAGCAACTGGTATAATTGCATTGGAAAGGAAGTGATTGTATGATTTCACAAGTACCTACGTAGTGAATAATTCAAAACAAATTTTGCGGAGCACAAATTTCAAACTGTGCTTACGCAAATTCAAAGTTCAAATTTCAATACAGATCCGACTGATCACAATTAATTACCTAACGCAGTACTAAATACCCAAGAACAAATAAATATAGGTAGAACAACATTCACAAACATTACTCTCATCTTAAAATAGGTAGCTTGTTTTATGGAAATCGGAAAGAACGAAGAGTACAACCGAGAGCACGATTGAATATTACGATAATAGCTCTTATTGCTAAACATTAAAGTCACAGACAATATAAACTTATACTGACAACGTAGCTCCGATTGTACCATATCCATCAAGCTCCCGGTGAATATAGAAAAGTTCATTTTCTAAATAACTGCGAAGAGGAAAAAAAATGAAACCGAGTTCGTACCTACTTATAGTTACTACAAGTATAGCATTCTAAATTGAGAAAGCAGTAGCATAGATGGCATTAATGACAAAATAAAAAGTGCTACAAGTCAAGCATTCCTAATTCTAAATTAAGAAGGCAATAGCTTCAATGGCAATAATTAAAGAGTAAAAAGTGTAAGTTCTTACATCGTATGGGAATGCGATCAAAACATTTGCAAATAGGATGCCTTCCCACGGTCCACCGGACGAAAAACCGGTTCTTGGTTGCATACCAAAAGAAAAATCGCTCTTATCCGCTCCTTATAGGTAAGTAATTATTATAAACAAAACAGACGGGTCCGACATACCTTTAAGTCAATTCCGATCCGGACCAAATATCGGGATCACACAATAAACAGAACACACACTCTTTGAACAACACTCCGAATATCGACAGTCACTTCTTTTCTCGATTTTTTGAGCACACACGCGTTCACCGGCTGCTAAGAATCGGACAGCACAACCTTCCCACAAGAAGGCGAGCGCGGTACTGGACTGGCGGTCGGCAATCGTGAATGTGGTGCGCTGTTCCATTCTCGAATACTACGAGTTACGGCCATTCAGGTATGTGAACAACCTCGGGGACCAGACAATAACAAGCCAATCTCGACTGTACAACCCGAAGTATAACGCCAATAATGCTCTGACCCAGCAGTACTGATAAGACTGCGTCGATATCAGCGCTGCGTCTAGGATTCCGAACAGACAGGGACGGGCGACACCGTCTCTCGGGGGGCGAAAGAGAAATAATACACGTAGACATTAAGATGATTGGGCCGTGAAATTTTTATATTCAGTTTGCTGCAAAAGTGCAGCATTTTGAACAATAGTGCATAGTCAACAATATAGGGATTGTTCGTTTCGCCGTTCGTTTCGAGCTGAAAGGAGAGGGAAAGCTCATTGTTTTAAAAGAATTGTTCAGGGCTTTTGTTGCCGTCTTCGTTGGCGGAGTGTTCCCGTGGGATTGTTGGATAAAAATATGAGGTTTCATTAATTACGTATCAGCGCAGCGCAGTTTATGATTTAATAAGATCTTTTTCTGGGACATGAAACAAGGTAAACAGCAAATTTAAAACTGTTCAAGTTTACTGAAGTTTATACAAGGGTAATTAAAGCAGCAACAATTACTAGCATATACTTTATTAATAGTCAAATAAAATCGCAGTACCTAAGAAAAGACATACTCTGCAAATAAAATTTATGCGGCATTATGGCCCGTTATATGAATGTAATAAGTGTCTATTTTTACAAATTACCAAAACAACAAACAGTTGAATATTCTTAAGTTTCTTTTACACTAATTAGAACATAATAAAATCTTGAGCAACACTTCCCACATTAGTCGTGAAACTCCATAATTTTTTGCCCCTAATCTCTCAACAGTTTGTTACCTGCTAAGATAAAAAAAAAATTATCGACAAAACGGTTAGATAATCAACATCCATAAATTGCCGTTGGTTTTCGAATGATCCATAACTTCTAGATCTACATAGAAAAGAATATGCAGCGGATTTTTTTGTAAATCTTTACAAATTTTTTGACGACCTCCGTGGCCGAGTGGTTTGTACGCCGGGTTTCATGGTGTCGCCGACTCGAAAGGTCCCGGGTTCGAATCCCGGTGGGGGCAGATGTTTGTGTGATGAATACGAGCATTTTTAGTCCAGTCATGGATGTTTAATATGTATTTCTATATAAATATACTTATATATGTACAGTATATGTATTCTATCCGTTACCCTAGCATCCCATAACACAAGCCTTACAGTGCTTACTTTGGGGCTAGGCTAATTGGTGTGTGTTAAAAAAAATGGATGCGTGTAACTTATGTACGCGCGTGAGAAGTTATACTTCTTTAGCATCATTAAAAATATTTTTTAATTGCATGCAAATAATTAATAATTACAATAAAATAATAAAAGGACTGGAAAAGGATAGTTAACACAGTCAATTAAGTTCAGTTTTAATTTGAAAAATTAAATAAATATTCAAAATATTCAATTAAAATCACTACTGAATTTAAGTTATTAGTCCATATGTAATTAGCACTTGTAAGTAACTAAAACACGTTGTGTCTATATAGAAACTAGAAACATGTGGATAAATATTATAAATATGAAAACAGTGATCAGAGGCGACGAGCGTGCCAACATTGTTTTTGACAACGCGATCATCTTATGGAGCTCCGTGGATCGTTCAAAGTACCTTTCGAACAGATGTCTAATAATGGTGGATTATTAACCACTAAGTGGTTAATAATCCACCATTATTAGACACTAACATTCATAACGCGCCCGCGACCAACTTCATGGTGTTACTATTGTGTTACAGTGATGCGCGCGCATCTCGAAATTTCACTCACATGATTTTTTCATAACGCGCCCGCGGCCAACTTCATGCTGTTACTTTTGGGTTACAGTGATGCGCGCGCATCTAAAAATTTCACTCTCATCATTTTTTCATAACGCGCCTAAAGAAGTATAACTTCAAAAAAAGTAAATACAATGGGTGATCATCAATAAAAGAATCTAACCTAAAAACACGATTAAAACTTTGCGCCGCTATACGGCAAAACTTTCTAGAAAACCATACAATTGATTGCTGGGACCATGAATACTTGAGAACTCAAAACATAAACAAAAAGTCGCAACAACAATTATTGTTTCATTAAAAAGCGTGAGTATGACACATACATACCGCCAAGTTCCCCGAACGCACTCAGTCACCAATTAACAAAGCTTAATTGGACGTGGACAAACACTGAGGAGGTTCCGTGCATTATTATTGCTTTTAACCGTTCACAATCTGTGGTTTAAAGTTACTACTAATGTCAGCTTTGATAATATATGATATCTATGGCCATGGCAAATAAGAAATTTGGTGACTCATTCGCAAATGCGAATACACTCTCGTGAAGAAGCAATATACAGGTCGGTAAGGCGAGGAAGGTTGGTGTGGCAGGTAGAACTACTGCACCAGCTGCTATCATTGCATCTTGATGACTCCTCCGTCACGTACCATCAGGTGGGGTAGAATTATTTGTCGGACCTATTTGTGTCAAAAATAATAGGCATGTGAAATGTTGCAATAAAGTATATGCGCTCTGTCTCACTATTAAAGAAAAAATATATTTCTTGAAATATCAATTACGTATAGAACCGAAAGAAAATTGGTAAATAATAGGTTTTGTTTAACGTTTCTAAATATTATGTGCTCGTGTATCGAGAGAACAATCATGATCTCTCTTTGTAGTACTTACGTATTCTCAAAATCTGTTTAATATTCAAAATTATAGTATTCAAATTGGAAGCTAATTTCATCTGTCTTGAATAGTTTCATTTTCTATACTTGCCTCCGGTTCAGATATTTTTGCTACGCCGTTACAGGTCGAGGAAACTTCGTCAGATTAAACAATAATGTATATTTTACCCAACAACAATAAAAATAAAAAAAACTGTTGTAGCCGTCCCAATAGAAAAACCATGTCGCTAACAGAGATTTATATCTCTGGTCACCTACAGCATGTTGGAACAATTGGAACCATTCAAACCCAAGCTTTTTTCTCTGCTATGTAATTATGTTATCAATAAGACACCTTGTAATAGGCGTTATTGATAAAACTTTTTTGATAATAGTTTAAAATTTATCAAAACTCATCTGTTTAATATAGATAGAAATTTGAATGTACTATAGAACAAATTGATTCCTGAACCACTGGAAGAAGCTACTGTAGGTTTACACGGCAGAATAACATAAGGTTGCCCCCATAATTTATTCTGCCGCGCGCTCTAGTAAATCCCAAAATCCTGGCTTGGGCTCCCCTATATACTACAACGCAGCTTCCAAAGCACTGAAGAGGTTAAAATAACAAATATCCGTTAGTCAATCAGTCATCTAGATAGCGATTAATTTCCACTATGGAAACGAGTAAACTCTTCATTTATTATCTCTTACCTATTAGACAAGTCCGTCCGTCCGTCCGTGGTGCTGTTTCAGCGGCCAAACCGTAAGAGATAGATATAGAGAATGTTTAAGTTATAAGTTAAGAATAGTCTGATAAGACTACAAACCGGATGTGAGTAACGTAGCACTTCCGGTTTTCGAGAAATCACGTGATTTCTATTTCAAACGAAACCACACAAAATCTCCGAAGTTCTCAATTAATTAAATACATTTTTTTTTTGGTGAACATTTGGTTCACTGGTTTGCTAGTTTTCTATAACAAGAAGTCGTATAAAGATATGAGATAGATGATACCTTTTGTGACATATTAAAGAGGGGACCGTAAGCGGAAGTTGTAAAAGAAATCCCACATGTTATCTCGTTATGCCCCATTATAATATCGCTTTACAAAAGAATCTACCTGCTAGGAGCAAGTTCAAACATGACCGAACAACAAGTGCCGAAACTGATGCTACTGAAGAGATTTTAACCAAGTTCACTGGGTTTTGTTCTCTCTGCATACTTTTGTGTTGTATTGAATTAGCGAACTTTCAATTGGCGTGATCAAAAACACATTTATCATGATTTGAGTAAGGCCCATTGTCTCAATTTCTTTTTAAGGAGATAAAAATAAGGTGGTGATCGTGGTATCGGTTTAGTAGTTTCAGAGATAGGTATATACTAAGAAACAAGAAACAAGCTTTACCTCTACATTATATTAGTATGATGGGTGCTCTCAGTTTCACCTACGTCAAATGTCTGGTTTCCCAAACAATTATTTGACATTACCCATTAACTAAGCAGGTATTTCGACGACCTCCGTGGCCAAGTGGTTTGTACGGGTTTCAAGGTGTCGCCTACTTGATGGGGGCAGATGTTTGTGTCATGAATACCAGTATTTGTACTCCAGTCATGGATGTTAAATATATCTTTATATATATAATTCTTCTGTGAGTGTGTATGTCACTGAACTTCTCTTAAACGACTGGACCGATTTTGATGAAATTTTTTGTGTGTGTTCAAGGGGATCTGAGAATGGTTTAGATTCACAATTTTGTCCGCTGGACAACCCCTATTTTTTTAGGGCGGTACGAAGTTCGCTGGGTCAGCTAGTATTTCTATATAAATATACTTAAATATGTATCAGTATATTATGAATTCTATCACTTAACGTAGTATCCCATAAACAAGCCTATAGTGCTTACTTTGGGGCTAGGCTAATTGGTGTGAATGTTGGAAATATTTATTTATCTTTTTCATATCTTTTCTATATGTTCTTCCATACCTTTTTTTCTTTACATAATATAATAATGTCTTCATCTTCTTAATAAAACACACCCCAAATAATGTTCAAACATTTGCTTTAAATTTTGAACATGTAAACCAAAAAAATCCCTAAAAATAATTCTACTTAACTGTTATCGTATAACCAGCCTTTGGATTTGGGCA